TGATTGTCATTTGATCGCTGTCTGCTCTCTGATCGCAGTTTGATGTCTGTCTGATCTCAATCTAATCTCAGTCTGATCACAGTCTGATCTCTGATCGCAGTTTGCTCACTGTCTGATCTCAATCTAATCTGTCTGATCACAGTCTGATTGCAGTCTGATTTCTGTGATCTCTGTCGAAACGCAGTCTGATCTCTGTCTGATCGCAGTTTGCTCACTGTGAGATCTCAGTCTGATTGCAGTCTGATCTCAGTGTAATCTCAGTCTGATCTCTCTGATCTCAGTCTGATGTTGTTTGATGTCTGTCTGATCTCTCTGATCTCTGTGATCTCTGTCTAAATGCAGTCTGATCTGTCTTGCAGTTTGATCGCTGTCTGATCTGATCTCAATCTAGTCTCAGTCTGATCTGTCTGATCACAGTCTGATGCTGTTTTATTTCTGTCTGATCTCAGTCTGATCGCTGTCTGATTTCTCTGATCGCTGTCTGATTTCTCTGATCTGAGTCTGATCTCAGTCTGATTTCTCTGATCAGTCTAATCTCAGTCTGATCGCTGTTTGATTTCTCTGATCAGTCTAATCTGTCTGCTCGCTGTCTGATTTCTCTGATCTCAGTCTGATCGCTGTCTGATTTCTCTAATCTCAGTCTGATCGCTGTCTGATCTCAGTCTAATTGCAGTCTGATTTTTCTGATCTCAGTCTGCTCGCTGTCTGATTTCTCTGATCTCAGTCTAATTGCAGTCTGATTTCTCTGATCTCAGTCTGATCGCTGTTTGATTTCTCTGATCTCAGTCTGATCGCTGTCTGATTTCTCTGATCTCAGTCTGATTTCTCTGATCTCAGTCTGATTTCTCTGATCTCAGTCTGATTTCTCTGATCTCAGTCTGATTTCTCTGATCTCAGTCTGATTTCTCTGATCTCAGTCTGATTTCTCTGATCTCAGTCTGATTTCTCTGATCTCAGTCTGATTTCTCTGATCTCAGTCTGATTTCTCTGATCTCAGTCTGATTTCTCTGATCTCAGTCTGATTTCTCTGATCTCAGTCTGATTTCTCTGATGTCTGATTTCTCTGATCTGAGTCTAATCTCTGTTTGATTTCTCTGATCTGAGTCTAATCTCAGTCTGATTTCTCTGATTAGTCTAATCTCAGTCTGATTGCTTTCTGATTTCTCTGATCTCAGTCTGATTGCTGTCTGATTTCTCTGATCTGTCTAATCTCAGTCTGATTTCTCTGATCTCAGTCTAATTGCAGTCTGATTTCTCTGATCTCAGTCTGATCGCTGTCTGATTTCTCTGATCAGTCTAATCTCAGTCTGATCGCTGTCTGATCTCTGAGCATCTGATGCCAGACTGCAGTCATGACTCTCACACCATCGCATTATGTCAGACATTTATTTAAATCAGTCCTAATTTAATCAGGATTTTCTCACTGTGTGAGTGTGTGTGTGTGTGTGTGTAGAGTGGAAGGAAGCACATAGAGGAAATGGAGAATGTAAGGACACACTTACAGTCCATACTGAGGAACACACCGACGTCAGCGGACCGACACGGTGAGATACACACATACACACACAGATGCTTCCATAGAGCTGCTGAACTGTATTTAGTGCTGATCAAATCACCTGACCTTTCACCTTTGACCCCATAGATTTTCTGGCCCCTGCATCACAGCACTTCCTGGATGATTCACACGAGAGCGACGCCACGTCACACCTGCTCAGGTGAAGCAGACACACCAATACAGCTGTCGCTTACTTCACTTCATATTCAGAGAGTTTACTGGTGCAACAGAAGTACATGTTGTGCTGCTAAAGCATTTAATGTCAGTATTGATCTAGGACACATTAAACTGATGAAAAGTGACAGTACAAACATTTATAATGTTACAGAAGATTTATGTTGAGCAGAATCTCTCTCAGGTAGAAGAAAAACTAAACCAGGAGCAGAAACACAAGCAGGAGCTGCAGAAGGCCAACAAACACCTGGTAACTCTCTCTCACACACACACACTCACACACACACTCACTCACACATACACACACTCACACACACACACAGCGTTCATTCTCCCTGATGGTGATGATTAGGGCTGGGTATCGTTTCTGAATTTTATCGATTCTGATTATTTTCGATTCCCAGTTTCGATTGCGATTAAATGTGATTAAATAATGATATCAATTTGTCCTGTGCCTCTTTTTTTGCGAATAATTTAGTTGCAGCTGAATGCAATGAACAAAAATCAGCAGGCTACATACAAACTGGACTCTTTAAGAGCTGTTTGTGTGCAAAATAGAACTGCATGATTCTGGATAAATTTAGTTTTTTTTTCCTCAATGGAAGTTGTGGTTCTCTCATGATTCTGAAGAAAAAAACATTAGACAATTAAACAAAATCATGTAATTTATGAATGAATGATTCAATGACTCACTCGGTTTCATTACTGGATGAATCAGCATTCTTGAACGAATCTCTTGTATGATTCAGAGACAAATAAATTTTAACAGCCCCTTTTCGCCACCTACTGGCGTAACACTGTAATCAATAAATCTTCATTTGAAGTGTCCAATTACTTTCAAAAGGTGATTTACTCTATTTTAATTGCTACCGTACACATCAGAGTTTATATAAAGAAAATATAAACGCAGATTTAAATGTTCAAAACACACTGGTGTGATCATACGCTGCACAGATGAACCACGTGATCACAACATTGATCACACACATCAAAGGTTGAGGAATGAAACCGACAAATCATTGTAATATAGGAATTTACAATTACGTGTTTGCGATCTTTAACGATCTATTCAATTAAAGTGCTTTGTCATGTTGGTGGTGACGCCTCTCTTGCAACATGTTTAGCTATCACAGATATTATACTTAGCTTTTTTAGCTTCTGATCGCAAATGTAGCCAAACTTTGCAGCGCTTAGATTAACGAGCAAGGTCCTGGCAGATCGCTAGGTCCGGCCCTCACACATGAAGAAAAAAAAAGTGCATAGGAATCTAAATTTTAATTTGACAACAAGTATCCGATTCCTGACCTTAAGTATCCGATTCTGGAATTGGAATTGATTTTCGATTCCCAATCCTAGTGATGATGACGATTGATGATGATGATGGTAGTGATAGTGATGATGATGATGGTGGTGATAGTGATGATGATGGTAGTGATAGTGATGATAAAGATGGTGATAGTGATGATGATGATGGTGGTAGTGATAGTGATGATGATGATGGTGATAGTGATGATGATGATGGTGATGGTGATGATGATGATGGTGGTGATAGTGATGATGATGATGGTGATAGTGATGATGATGATGGTGATGGTGATGATGATGATGGTGGTGATAGTGATGATGATGATGGTGATAGTGATGATGATGATGGTGATAGTGATGATGATGATGGTGATAGTGATGATGATGATGGTGGTGATAGTGATGATAAAGATGATGGTGATAGTGATGAT